CTTCAACTCCACACTCAAATCTGAGTCTATTTCTCTGTGCAAGGGGCCATTTTCTTAGTGAAAAAATAAAACAGCACTTACTTTCATCTACAGAACTAGTCAATACAAACCAGAACTGTGTGAATTAAAGATAGGCTTTAACACTTCTAAAGAGAAAAATAAGTATTCCTATCCATTTTAGGTAATACTTTGTGTGGCAGACTGTATTTTCCAAGTACAGTATTTCTCCCATCCTACATGTTCTTATGAGGTAACTTTTACATTCCTCCCGTTGAGGGACATGGTCTGTGTCCTCTCCTCTTGAAAATGGGTGGGCTTTTGTACAGGGGAAGTGACATTCCCTGACTTCTATGGCTATGTTATAAAAGGCAATACTGCTTTCATTTTGTTCACTGGAATGCTTACTGCTGAAGCCTTCGGTCCGACTCCCCTGAGACTGCCATGCTCTGAGGAAGCTCAAAGTAGCCCAGCGGGAAAGACCACACGGAGAGGACTTAAGACTACACACAGATCTCCAGTCATCCCCCACTGCCTCAACCTCCTGGTTCCTGGTTAAGCCACAGTCTGACTGCAATTGCACCAGGGACCCCAAACAATAACCACTCAGCTTCTCAAATCATTGATCCTTCAAAGTGGTGAGAGATGTAGCTTTGATGTAGCTGTAAGTCATCACATTTAGGGGTGATTTGTTAGTCAATAATAGATAAACTGTAACAGCTTGAGAAACAACAATACTATTTATATAAAGATAATAAAGGCTATACAAATACTATGCTAACTGATGGGAAAATATATGCTAAATATATACACTGAATTATAATATATAGACTATATTTTAAATTATATATCATTTTGAATGAATCTATTATATATAATACATTATGTGTAACTTATGTGTATATATATTCATCCAAAAGTAATGATTTAATCATTTGCTGATGCCAGGCACAGTGCTGGCCCTAAATAAGTGTGTTCAATCACTTTTCCATTTAGACACTTGAAAAATTATATGTACTTCTGTGCAAAATAATGGCCCATCATGGTGGTGGATTCTCAGTGGGTGAGGTTACATCAGGTGCTTACTCAAACTTCATCTCTTACCTTCTTTCTTACTAACAGAATCTAATTTCGTTGGAGAGGACAATGTACCCGTCTAGAAAATTAGTTCACAGCTTCCCTGGCAGCTAGAGATGGCCATGAGGCAGTTTTGACCATTGACATGTAAGTGAAAGTTGTTGTGTAGGACTCCTGGGAAAGTAGAAGGAAACAGACCTAGACTCTATTGTATTTGGTACCCAAGGAGGCATACAAAGACATCTTCTTCCCTGGTGGTATATGGTATATGCAGATTTTCTCTGTATCCCTGCCCCTCCCCAGAGTACTTAGCTACACGGCATGATGCTTTGGAATGACAGACAATAACTACAGTCTGTTACACCCAATTACCTCCTACAAGAGGGAAATACTGGAAAATGCTGGTGACAGGGAGCCTTGGGCTCCATGGAAGGGATTCTTTTCCAGAGGCTCTCCTAACCAGGCTGATATTGCTACTCCTCCATCAAACATCTTCAGTGGGTCCTGCTGAACATTATTTTTTGTTTCATCAAAGGTAACTACTTAACATTAGGAAAATATATATTGCAAATCTGTAATACACTTTTCACTTGTCAACAGGTATGCCACCTTTGTTTTTATTAAAATGTGATGTAGGCCTGTCTTTTTAAACTGTACTGTAAACATTTTAAGGGCAGGGACCACGTCTAGTACATTTTAAAGTTTCTCATGACACTTAGATGCAGTGAGCACCCTAAATACTAACTACCAGTGAAAATCATGTCAATTCTGTCATTTTGGTTTCTAACTTAAATAACATCTATACAAAATATTATAATACATACATTGCTTTTTAAAAACTGGATAATTTCAAACATACACAAAAGTAGACAGAAGAGTAAAATAAACTCCTATTAAGTGAACCCATTAGCCAACTTTAACAATTATGAACACCTCCTTTCTTTTTACTAGAGTATGTTAAAGTGAAATCAGACAACCTATCATTTTACATATACATACTACAGTGTATGTATCTCACATCTAAGGACTTTAAAAATATACATCTGCAATACAGTAATAATATCCAATATTAATCATCTGTCTTTTAAAGTTTAGTTCTTGTTCAGTTATATCTGATTGTTATAAGAATATCCTTTTATGATTTGGTTTGTTCAAATCAGGATTCAAATGACATTTGGTTAGTATATCTTAAGTCTTTTATCTACAAAAGTTGCCTTCTCTGCTTTTCTTTTTTTTAAAATGTCATTTATTTATTAAAGAAACCAGGTCATTTATTCTATGGAATTTCCTACATTTTGGACTTGGCTGATTGTATCCTCTTGGCGTCTTTTAACTCTTCCTCTATATATTGTATTTCCTGTAACTAGTAGTTTATAAAAAGAGGATTGATTAGATTCAAGTTCAAAAAAATTTTTGCCATGAAAACCTCAGAGTATTATAGTGTATTAAGAGACAAAACATCTGGTTGTCCCACTCTGAATGACATTAAGATTGATCAATGGGTTCAGTCGTATCAGCACAAGCCATCCCCATCAACCTTTCATCTAATTGTTTTAGCAACCAGTGATCCCATTTATTAGAGCCAGCAGGATGGCAAAATTATTCTTTTTTGTTAATTCTTTCCACTTAAAAAACCTTGCCTACTAACATACCACCAATTTTGAAATTCTGTACAACCAAAACACATAACTCAAATTCAAATTCCTTCATAGAGTCTTCCCTGTCTGCTAAGTGGCAGAACTGTCACTCATCTGGCACCTGTCATCTACTGCCCTGTCACATAATTTCATCCGCCAGTTGGTAAGCTCCAGGAGATCCCAATTATGTCCCAGGTATCTCTGTATCCCAAAGATGAACACAGCACGTGTACAAGAAATATGTAAAATAACTCTGATTGGTGAGTATTCAAATTAAAAGCCACCAACCCATGCAAACACATGCAGCTAGATTCCAAAATGAAAAATACACACACATATACATGCGATATCACAAATTTATTATAGTACACGGAAAAACAAACTCAAACTTTGACAACATCCACAGAATGTTCCAGTCTTTAAAAAGTTAACAGAAATAAAGGGTAATGGAGAGAATATAATCTCATAATTTTATAATTAAGGCTGTAAATGGCAAAGTCCCATATATATTTAAAAATCTATATTTGTGTTTATTTATAATATAGATATAGGCCCTCAAGGATTCATAGAGATTTATGTAATAAACTAGATTTTGGAACTGCTTATTTTGTTGTTGTTGCTGGTTAGGTAAGCAAACCCAAACAAATTAAGTCCTGAAAAGTGGGATGAAATCCCAAAAGAACTCTATGTGACCAAACATAACTCTTTTAGTAAATATGGCTCCATACAAATTCTATATCCAGTGAAAATCATTTTGATCCACAATCATGTTGATGTTTCTATGGAGGATACTTCTAGCAGCCGTGATTTCTTTTGTAGCATTCTGGCTCTCCACTTCTATTCATATAATTGAGTACGTGCTTTATTACATGTTAGCTCATAGGCAAGTTAAACATTTTAAAGACTACGGGGAGGTTAGGAGAGGTTGTATGATGAAGGTCGGAAAGTATGCAAGAAATAAACTCTCCTGTTTCATCTCTTTATTCTTGCCTCATTTTGGTCTCTATACTACTTGGGGTCTTTGAAAATGGTGTGATTTATAACAGCACCTAGCATACCTTCTCATTTTAGCACAGGTTAGATATGAAGAGCCAAACCTGGAAAACAGTTAAGGAGTCCTGAGACCTTTCCAGTGGAATAAATTAGAGCAGTAGTTTCATTTAGCTGTGCTTTTTTGTCCTTTATTCTTTTTTTTCTAAAAATATAAAATTATGGCCGGGCGCAGTGGCTCACCCCTGTAATCCCAGCACTTTGGGAGCGCGAGGTGGGAGGATCACCTGAGGTCAGGAGTTCGAGACCAGCCTGGCCAAGAT